CTATAGTAATTTCAACTTAAGCATATATTATGAATGATACAACAAATTCATTTTAAAGAACTATAGGATTCATTCTCATTCCAAATAAAAGCAACATGAATTACCTACAGCACAGTGTCTCTAAGTGAACCAGTCACCTACACTATGTAACAAAAATGCGAACTATGAAAAGCATAGCTTCAACTCATTTTTTTTTTTGAGGAAAAACGCAAAAAAAAAATGTTTTTTTTTTTTAAGTGAGACAGTGAAAGTGGGGGAAGAGGGGGCAGAGGGAGAGAGAGACAATCTTCAGCAATCTCCATGCTCTGCATGGAACCTGATGCAGGGTCCATCTCAAGACCCTGAGATCATGCATGACCTGAGCCAGTATCAACATTATCAAGAGTCAGAGACCCAATGCATTGAGCCACCCAGGTGCCCCCATGAATTTTCAAGTTATTAAGAAAACAAACAAGGACATACAGACTATCAAAGTAATATTGACATGCAGTAGCGCCTTTGGTCCTATATAAACAAGTCTAACTTCATTATGATTTCACAATTCAGAAGACTGCAGGGCAGTATCCATTAAAACTGAGATGGGGGGGCACTTGGGTGGCTCAGTGGGTTGAGCAACTGACTCTTATATTCAGCTGAGGTCATGTTTTCAGGGTTGTGAGATCGAGCCCTGCAAGGGGCTCCATGCTCAGAAGGGAATCTGCTTCTCTCCCATTATTTTTACCCTTCACATAATATGACAAGACCTTTGGTCTTCTGTCTTGAAGTCAAAAGGAAAAAAGAAATGACATTTATTAAATATTTACTATGTGCCATGTGTGAGACACTGATAAATCTTACACACTTGATCTCATTTAACTGCCACAGCAATTCTACATTAGTAGTGCTATCCCTATTTTGTAGATGAAGAAATTGAGCTGAGGGATGTCAAGTGAAGCCCAAGACAGTCAAGCTAGGCCTACCATCTAAGTGTTTTGACTATTAGTCTAAAACTCTTTGACACACTTGTTTTTTAGAAGTTTCAGAAATCATCTCACCCAGCACTTCCTCAACTGAATTCCATGAAACTCTAGAGTCACTAAGATATTAACAAATGTTCTGAGAGATAAGGGCTCTGGAGTTCAAACGTTTAGGACAAGTTACTTTGTATCAGGATTTCCCAGAAATTATGCACATTGTGCATAATTTTTATATGCATAGTTTATTATGCACATTGTGACTCTCTAAGAAGGTGATAAAATGGGAAGTGTTCTGCTCATTTATCAAATACTATGAAGGACTGTGTTTAAAGAAAACCTAATAATATTCTATGGTATGTTTTTGCTCAACTCAGCACACTTTGGAAAATGACCATCCAGTCCAATCTCCCCTTTCCATGGTTTAATAAAATTGAGATACAGATAAATGACTCAGTCAAGGCCACAAAGGAAGTTAATAAATGGCCAAGGCTGGTACCAAGGAGATCTGATGATTCATGCCAGGACACTCTTTCCCCTCTATCATCCTGTCTCACTTCAATACTGTTTGTAGAAACAAACTCCAACCCCAAGTAAAACCGGGGGAAAAAAAGTATTAAACCTATCATTTATTCTGGTTCTTCTGAGTGGCAGTATAGAGAAACCATTTACAGAAATGAAGCTCAAAATGGTCTACCTCTGAGTGTACCGGTATTTCAGAGAACTGGGATATATTTGGAAATGTGGGAAAAGATGCCACTGTAATAATGCTGAGTAACACTTTCAGCCAAGTTGTGCTACATTCAGGTTTTTCTTTTTTTTTTTTTTTAAGATTTTACTTATTTATTCATGAGAAATACACTGAGAGAGAGAGAGAGAGAGAGAGAGGCAGAGACACAGGCAGAGGGAGAAGCAGGCTCCATGCAGGGAGCTGGAAGTGGGACTGGATCCCGTGACCCCAGGATCACACCCTGGGCTGAAGGCGGCGCTAAACCACTGAGCCACCCGGGCTGCCCAGGTTTTTCTTTGAAGTGCTGTAGAACTACACCCTGGTCCTGCATGTGTCTACATGCAGGACATTTTGCCAAAGCTCAAAATATCCAATTTGAGACCATTTTTATACAAAACTATTTGTTCAGTTTTCCTCTTACTCTTTTACCTTAAAGGGGCTTCCTTTCACTTTGTCCTCCCCTGCCAGCAAGCAGTAAACAGCCCCAAGCCAAGCATGCCCCCTGGCGGTTTAGATCAGGAACTGCTTAATGTGACATCCCTTCCAATTAGTAGCTCACCTCCTGGCCCCTCCCCCAAGCCACACTCTTCTAATTCTTACCCATTTGCTTCAGTAAAACCTTCTCTTTTCTATCATTTATCCTCAGTGAAAAAAAAAAAAAAGCACTTTTGGCATTCTAGTTACTTAAAAAATCGTCTAAGTACACTTGTAGCTAAAGAAACAAACCACAGTGAAAGTCCAATAAAGCCTTGGAAATGCCCTAAGAGAACCCTGCCCCAGGGGAGAATGTTAGAATACTTAATATTTATCCAATGCTTTCGAGGATAATTGGCACTGAGAAGGACCTTGAAGATCACTGCTAGGTCTACTGCATTATTTTACAAGTAAAACAAACAAACAAAAAACAAGAAATGAGGGAATTACCTGCCCAAATAACACAGAGTTCATGGCAAAGTCAGGATGAAGGCCTAGGAGTTGTCATTTCAAAGCCAGTGCAATGTCAACTAGGCCATATGCCCCAGGCTCCTCAAGACTGTTTTCTTATCAGTTAACATTCAAGTAAAATATTTTTTAGTGTTTACATATTTTTCCTTAATTATTTATACTGATATTATGGCTCTCTTGAGAGCAGGGCCCATAAACCTCCTTAGTGCCGTGTCGAACAGTATCCAGCACGCTTCATAAATATTTACTTTCTTCATCCATTATTGCTGTACTTATTGCAAATCTAGAATATTTTCCCCATGTTATGCGTTTAGACGAGCTAACAACCTAACTACCATTTCACAACACTCTTTCTATAGGAAACTGTGCCCCAAATTGATGGGGAACAAAAGGCTAGCTGAGGACAAAGCAGAAGCTCACACCCTGCAACCCCCCTTCCCCACCCCTACCCCACCCCCGTGCGTGACATTCCTCAGGCACTCCTGGATGTCCTAAAGCTAAAGGAAAGGAAAAACAAATAGTTAACTTAGAGCTATTATAGTCCTAGAGACGGGAGTCTCCCACAATTTACAAAATGCTTTAGTGATTTACAAGAAAAAAGCATCCTTACCTAAATTCCAGAAGGAAACTCCCTACTGTCTTAATGTAATGATTTACTAGAGAGAAAAACAACCTTAAACTTGACTATGGCAAGAGCTCCAGTGTCTTCTAGGTCCTCTTTAGCATATGAAAATCCTTTTGAAACCTCCCTTTCCTTGCCTCCCCCAACTCCCAGATACATAATGAGCTACCCCTCAAAGCCCAGGACTGCAGTCCTTCCTGCCCCAGGGTCCCTCTCCGTGCTTTCATAAAAAACGACCATTTTGGACCAAAGATGCCTCAAGAAATCTTTCTTGGTCCTCGCTTGGGATCTCACTCCTACCAAACCTCACCTATATTCCAAAACTACATTAAAATCATCACACCATACATAACCTACTGGAACACATTCCATTCAGAATTTGGGACGTCTTGCTAAGGGTTCCTCTCCACCACCTGATGAGTCCTGACTGAACAAGAATGGGAAAGAATATGTACCATAGAGGGAAACAGCAATCAATTTTGAAGACCCTGGTTATTTTAGCATCAGTTGCAGTCATAATCGCAAAGCTATACTATCTCAGTTTTCTCTCCCATAAAATACTACTCTTCGATCCTAAGTTCATGTAAGAAATGTCAAGCATTTTATAAATCACGGGTATCAAGAATGATCACAGGTATTACTTATAACACCTGTAGTATAATTTATATTCTGGACGCTCTGACTAAATCACCTGTAATATAATTGATATTACAGGCACTGACTCATCACTTTCTATACGCGTTATCATGAAATTCTTACAGCCCTGTTTTACAGATAAGAAAAAACAAAAAAACAAAAACCAAGGCGTGGCAGGTTAAGAAACTCGTCCGGAGTCGCTTGGTCACAGAGCTAAGATCTGAAAACTTCAGGATTCGAGCTTCGCTCTGAAAGCCTCCAAAGCTGGTGCTCCTAAAAGATGGGAATTAAGGCAAGAAAAGATTTTACAGGAAAGAAAAAAAAAGGGGGGGGGGGACGCCTGGGTCGTTCAGTGGTTGAGCGTCTGCCTTTGGCTGAGGTCGTGATCCCCAGGTCCCGGGATCGAGTCCTGCATCGGGCTCCCTGCGTGGGGCCTGCCTCTCTCCCTCTCTCTCTCCCTCTCTCTCTATTTCATGAATAAATAAAATCTTTTTTTTTTTTTTAAAGGTACTACTCCCTTAAGGGCTCGGGAATCAGTGAGGCACGAAAGCAAGTCTTCCAATCTGGGCTACTGTCACCTACACACAGTGAAATATGTGGGTGCAAAGAAAAATGAGAATGAACGACGGCGACCTGGGTCCTTTCCTGACTCCGGCGGCCAGCGCAGCGCCCTGCACTGGGGCGCGCCCGTAGAGGAGCCGGGGCTAGCAGCCCGCGGCCGGCGGGAAGCGCACTGCAAGTGCAACCACGTGGCCGTGAATCCCAGCTTCTGGGAGCCGATCCCTCGCGGGAGGCCCCCGCCCGCGCCCCCCCCCCCCGCCCCCCGCCCGCGCCCCAGAACGCGCGCTGCACGCGGCAGCCGCAGGGGCCCGGGGGGAGGCGCGCGGGGCCGCGGCCGTCTTCCGGGAGCCCCGCGCCGCAGCACGGGCGGGGGATGGGGGGGGGCCTCCGCCCACCGCCCTGCGTGGCGCCCGCAGGCGCGGAGGTGGCCTCGGCCGCTCCGCCATCCCCGCGGGGCCGGGGGAAGGAGGGAGGAGGCCGCTCGGGCGGCCCAGGCCCCACCCCGCGCCTGCCCTGCGCGCCGCCCGCCGGGGGCCCCCCGCGAGCTACTTACGGAAGAAGAGGCGGTAACCGGGGGAGCGGGGCTGGCCGCGCTCCTCCGTGCGGTAGGAGGCCATGGCGCGGTGCGGGCCAGGCCCTGCGCGCGCTCCCCGGGGCGCGCGGGCGGCAGCGGGGGGCCCCGCGCGCCAGCCCCAGCCGGCGCGCAGGAGCGGCAGCAGCGCGCGCATGGCGACCGCGGCGGTCGGGCTCCGCGCAGGGCGGCGCTGGGGGACCCTGGCCCGGCCGCGCGCCGGCGCCCCCTACTGGCCGGAGCCGTCACCCCCGCCCCGGGCTCGCTGGGGAGCCCCGCCCGCCCGCCCGCCCTCCTGGGGGTCCCCTGGTGACCGCGCGGCGGGGTGCCCTGTGCCCTAGCGAGGCCGGGGTTCAAGGCTGAGCCAGAGAACGTCCAGCACCCCCCGAGGAGCTCACGGCCACGTAGGACCGCATATATGCGTTCGTGCCTTCGCTCGTGCGCTCACTATTCACTAGCACAGTATTATCCTTATTACAACGATTCAATATTGAGTGATGGTGCGCAGCCCCGGTGGCCCAGAGGTTTAGCGCCGCCTGCAGCCCGGGCTGTGGTCCTGGAGACCCGGGATCGAGTCCCACGTCGGGCTCCCTGCGTGGAGCCTGCTTCTCCCTCGGCCTGTGTCTCTGCCTGTGTCTCTCTGTCTCTCTCTCTGAATTAAAAAAAAATATATATATATATATACACACACACACACACACACACACACATATATATATATATATATATATATATATAGAGAGAGAGAGAGAGAGAGAGATTGTTCTGTGCCAGGCACTGGCCCAGAGCCCGTCTAACGAAGGAGACAAGCTTCACACCCACAGAGACGTCGTTGTAAGAAAGACATCATCAGACCTTGTGAAGATTTGACCTTGACGCTGACTTCCAGAACAAAAAAAAAAAAAAAAACATGAGTAACTTCAAACGCCGTCTCCTTCCTTCATAAGGCTTTTTCCTACTTAACCCAACTAGAGGTGATTTATCCTTTTAATTAATTAACTTATCCTTCTGACGTTTTCACTTCTACAATGGCACTTAATGAGCCAGACCCTCAGGAATTAAGATTTAGCGTCCTTGCAGGATGCAGCAGCCTGCCCTGCGTATAATGGCTCCTTTGTTGTGGCGGTAAACTGCTCCTGGAAGTCCCTTTTACCAAATCTCTCTATTAGCATGTGACATTTTGATTATCCACTTTACAGAAAAACTTGGAAGAAACAGTTTTCCAAAGGCAGTATCTCCACTTCATACTCTCTCCCCATCTCAATTCAAATATGCTTCCTCTACCTTCTCCAGATCACCGGTGACCTCTAGTCAATGTGAAGTCCAAGTCTTACAATAGATCTTTCTTTTCCAGAAGAAAGCAGTAAAAATAAATAAATAAATAAATAAATAAATAAATAAATAAATAAATAAATAAATAAATAAAACATCTAAAGAAATTTAAATATGTCATTCAATCTGAAAGTGAGCAAAAATAGCAATTTTGCAAAAAATAGGCCAAAAAAAAAGTGCACCTATGCTCTTTGCAAAAATTAAGTGGAATGTTTTTAATTAAAAGAGAAAGCATCTTTTGGGGTCCTTCAGTGGCTCAGTTAGTTAACTGTGCTTTCAGCTCAGGTCATGATCTCAGGGTCCTGGGATGGAGCTCTGCATGGGGCTTCATGCTCAGCAGGAAGCACGCTTCTTCCTGTCCCTTTGCCTGTGCTCTGCCTGCTTGTGTGCTCTCTATATATCAAATAAACAAATACAATCTTTTAAAGAGAGAGAAGGCATTTTTAAAATAATCTTTTAAGGTACTGTAATAAAAATTGGCTTCTAAGTGAAATGTTAGTATACACAATGAATACATAAGTTCATGAAAAATATAATTCTAACTTAAAATCCTGGCTCTTGCAACATAAGACAAACATATTTGCAAATATTAATTTATATTAAGTCATGATATGGATCTGATTTTTTAAAATTAGTTGAAACAAACCTTTACTTACAAAATCTGCAAACAGAAATCTTACCAAGATGGTTCTATAGCCACCATATAACTCTACATAGGTTAATACTTACATCTAGATGGTGGTCAGAATTTTGATCAACATAAATGTCTGGTTGTAGGTGATATAGGGCTCTCCCACGTGAGAGAGCCAAGTTATTTCTATTTGTTACCCTTACGTGTTTAATTTCCATTGCTAAGGTCACCCTCATAGTTCAAAATGGCTGCTACAGCTCCAACCATCACATCTTCATTTCACCTAGGAAGAAAGAAAGAAAGAAAGAAAGAAAGAAAGAAAGAAAGAAAGAAAGAAAAAGAAAGAGAAGGCTGTGCCCCTCCTTTAAGAACACATCCCAGAAACTGTAACATTACTTTTATTTGCATTATATTGAGCAACACTTAGTCTACTGGCCACAACTAACTCTAAACTAGCAACTTTTTTCTGAATCAACAGAGGCCTAGATAAAAACTGGATGTCATACTACTACAGAAGAAAGGGAAAATGAATATTGGAGGACAACCAGCAGTCTGCCACAAATGTCATTTTCTTTCCCTATTGTCCAACTTCCTTGGAAAGATCTGTGAGAATTCTACATATTTCTACTCCAACTGTGAACTGGGTTCACATTCTTCCCAGCTAGACACCTGGCTTCTTTCAATTTCACCAATTACTTCACGGCAGTTAAAATTAAGAGACTGATTTACCCAATTTCCAGAAAGGATCTCTGGGAGATATTGTCAGTAACCCCTTAGACTCTACTTAGATTGCAGATCGTAAAATGTTTTTGTTGAGTGTGGTGGCTTCATATGTAAGTCTGATTAGGTTAAACTGTGAGTCAGACTCTCCCATAAAGGGGGGGAGGGGATTTCTTTTGTGCATATGTCATAGCGGAAATTTAGTTTTGTTTCCTCATGTAGAAAAAAAAGCTAATTGTTCTATTAACCTTTGAAGTTCAGATGTTTCAATGAGATAAACCCTACTGAGACCAAGTTGTGGCTAATTTCTAATGATCTGTAGATTCTTAGGATAAGACCAAACCTGGCAGAGTGTTCTGGAGCTGAAGTGGGTTGTCCAGTGAAGAGCCTTTATAACTCCAATGACTGGACTGGTATGATATGGATGAAGCAGCAAAGGCCACCCCTGAGAAGACTGGCAATCAAAAGTCTTTCATGAAAGGTGGCACAAAACCAGCGTCTCCCATAACTATGAAACTATAGTAGAGATAGGAGTTGGTGCTAGAGAAAAATGAGATAATTATTGAATCCCAATTCTGTTTCTGCTTTTAGTTTTGGTAAATGTAACACAAAATCCAACTTGGATAGAGTTGTCATCTTCTGAAATGCTGGATTATCCTGATAGGACATAAAAGAATTTTGGAATTGTGGAGTAGTCATTTATGTGTGATATTGTGTAAAAGCAGCATGTGTCTCTAAAATTAATTGTTATCCTTACCTAAAACATGATAAATAAATAAATTTTAAAACCTGCTAATTGCCATCGCTCACGCTTGCTAGCCAATAGCTAACTTAGGGCCTGGGCTATGAAATATAGTCGGATTCAATATAAGTAATGAGAATTTTAAAGTAATTTTGAATATTTTCTAATTTATCTGTTTAGGAACATACAAAATATTTCTCTGGCCTTTTGAATACTTTATCTAAAGGGCAACTTTGAAAATATTTTCATGTTACCAACTATTTAAAACATCTGTCATACTATCTAATAAATGTTGCAAAAGTATGTCTAAATGTTACTTAGAGTTCATGTTCATCCTCCATTTGTGAGCCACATTTTTTCCTTCTAAATACATGTCGAAGTTCCAGATCACTTCTCACTTAAAAATTGACTATTAGGGGATCCCTGGGTGGCGCAGCGGTTTGGCGCCTGCCTTTGGCCCAGGGCGCGATCCTGGAGACCCGGGATCGAATCCCACGTCGGGCTCCCGGTGCATGGAGCCTGCTTCTCCCTCTGCCTCTCTCTCTCTCTCTCTCTCTCTGACTATCATAAATAAAGAAAAAAATTTTTTTAAAAAAATTGACTATTATTGTACTGAGGAACAAAGTTATTATCATGACAATACAACGAAACAACAGGATTTTTATCTGCTAACTTTAGATCTTGAAATATCTTATATTAAATGCTGTCTTGATTTTATATATTTATGGTTTTTTAAAAGATTTTATTTATTCATGAGAGATACAGAGAGAGAGGCAGAGACACAGGCAAAGGGAGAAGGAGGCTCCACGCAGGGTGTCCACTGTGGGACTCAATCCCAGGACTCCAGGATCGCGCCCTGAGCGGAAGGCAGAGGCTCAACCGCTGAGCCACTGAGGCGTTCCTATATTTAGTTTTATAAAAGCTATGATACCTCAAGAGAATAAGAGAAGCTGCAGATGGGAGAAAATATTTGCAAAAGATATACCTGATAAAGTACTATGGCCAAAATGTACAAAGAACTCTTAAAAATGAAATATAAGAAAATAAACAACCTAATTTTAAAAATGGTTAAAAAGGGATGCTTGGGTGGCTCAGTGATTGAGCATCTGCCTTGGCTGAGGGAGCGATCCTGGTGTGCCAGGATCGAGTCCCACATCAGGCTTCTCACAGGGAGACGGCTTCTCCCTCTGTCTATATCTCTGCCTCTCTCTGTATCTTTCATGAATAAATAAATAAAAATTTTAAAATAAATAAAAATGGTTAAAAGAAGGAAAAAACAAAATAGGGAGAAATACTGCAGTAATTAAATAAGTTTGTGGGTGACAGAACCTATTAGTTGCCCCCCAACATCAGTACTCTTCTTTTACAGAAAAAGAATGTTGACTTTTCCAAATAAAAACTATACTTTCCAGCTTCCCTTACAATAGGTATCACCACATAATTAAAGTCCACCAATGGGACATCTAGGGACATTCCTTAGGAAAATCTGGTATACACACACATACACATACACACACACAAACACACACACAGCAGAATATTGTTCAGTCATGAGAAAGAAGGAAATCTTGCCATTTGTGACAACATGGAAGGAACCTGAGGGCATATTATGCTAAGTGAAATAAGCCAGACAGAGAAAGACAATACTACATTATCCCACTTACATGTGGAATGAAAGAAAGAAAAAGAAAGAAAGAAAGAAAGAGAAATGCCGAATTCACAGAATCAGAGTAGAATAGTAGTTGCCATG